ACTGCTAAAATGAGATGGTAATGCTTTTGAATGTATTGATGCCGGAACATTTGGACATCATCTACATATAGCCTGGATGCTATGAATGAATGTGCTGAATATTTGGACTCCATCTTTATATGTTGTGATGAAATTACTGTATGGACAGTCCATATTTTAATATGCTGTTGCTACTGTTTCCAAATAATTATTGTATCTAATTTGTTGCATGGGTAAGTGTATATTATTCTGTCGTTGGTCTGTTAACACCTGATAGAAAAATACAATTTTTCTGTGCGTTCACCTAACCCGACAGAAAAATACAATTTTTTCCTATGAGTGCACCTCTACAACTCTGACGGGACAACACTAACAGAAAAATGATTTTTCTGTCGGGTTTTTCTTTTTTCTGTGAGGAATAATGCACATAAATTTTATTTTTAATCTGGCCGAACACAAATTTTCTATGCGTGTAACCCACAGAAAATTTGTTTCTGACGACGAACACACAGAACAATTGAATTTTTCTATCATTATATTTCCGTGTGTATTTTTCTGAGAGTACACTATCAGAAAAATATTTTTCTAACGGTATTCGTATTTTTCTATGTGTTTTCGCACACACAGAAGAATGCGAGTTTCCAGTAGTGTTGCAAACAAGGTTTTCTCTAGCTAATCTGGAAGAGCCATATGTTAGACCAGTTGCTTTGCATCCTGCCGGCTAGAGTTCGAACCCCCTCGGGCGCGGATTTGTTGACTGGAGGAGGCGCAGATTATCTGGGCGTTGAAAAAAATCTCCTTGTATGTCCCACACCAAAGCACAGCTCTAAGGCCAGCCTAGTCTCACAAAAGCTTCAGTGCCACTGTGTATGGGTGGGGTAGAGGTTCGGGGCTTTTTTCGACCTGCGTGAGAAGGTCTTCTTCTTAAGCACAATGCCCGGAGGCTGTTTTACCCCACGGGTCAATTTTTTTTACTAACATATGTATCCGTGCATTGCATGGAACCTAATACTTCTTAGAATCAGACTCTATATCATCACCAGATGCGAGTTGTTCTAACTTGTATGAGCACGGGTTATAAATCTAGTTCACATCTAGGACATGGAGGGCGCAAGGACAGTTTTAGATATAAAAAGTGGGATAGAAGAAACACTTTGCTGTTTAATATTATTTGTATACATTTAATATTTTTATACTGAATTGTGGGAGAAATTATTACTGTTGTATATCAAAAAGCTAAATGGATTTTATTGAATTGCATGTAAAATGGAGATGGTCAAGCTCGCCGGCGGCCACTACCCTAGACCAGAAAATCAATGCAAGTTCAAACCCTCCTATCACTCAGTGATAATAAACTTCACTGCCGGTTATATCCCCAACCGGCAGTGTTGGTTTGAGCAACACTGCTGGTTCATTACACTAGCCGACAGTGATATACCTATGATCAATACCAGTTCTATACTTCAACCGACAATGTTGATTTGAGTAACACTGCTGGCTCAGCAATTAGGCCAGCAGTGATATATACCTATGATCACTGCCGGCTTGTTGGTTGACCCGGCAGTGATCTATTTTTTTTTCATATTGTTATTTATTAACTATTTCATTATTTCTGTGTGACACTTTTTATTTCTTATGGTTACTGGACTCACATACATCGCAGATCCATCAAGATTTATTTTACAAATGTTACAGTATTGTATAAGTTACAATGAAAATATATATATTACAATAGCCTATCGAACATGGATTTTCCTAATCTTTCCTAGTCCTGACCCATGCAAGGGGGAAAGATCCAACTTTACTCAACACCTCCTCCACGATGAAGGCTGCTAGCTCATCTTGTAATCCTCTGATCTTGGAGTCTAACAGCTTTCAGTGTTTAAGTTTCTCACACTGTAGATGAAGCAAGATGATATCGAAATGCAAGTGTTAGACAAAAGACTAGTGTATTTTGTTGAATTAACTGATATATATGAAATGGGAAGCATACACACCATTTGATTTCCTTCGCTTGTGCTAATGCCGAGGTACTAGTGCATTGCCCACATCAAATGGAACCTGCATTCATTGTTGGCCATCGGCTGTTCTAGGGTTTACATTTGCATATAATCAACCTTGAATTGGTACAGCCTGTCCCCCTCTCTATTTTCTTTGATACTGTGTGACATTATAAAATGTCAAAGGCGGTGACATTAGAATGTGCTATGTGCTTAGAAAATTAATGTTACTGGCTTCACTTACTTATTTAGCACTATAAGTAGGTGTGTGTTCTTAGAAAGATCCCTTCTCTTGACTGTCTAGCACTAAGAAATCCGCCCTCTACATCACGTAGCAGCTGAGAAAGGCAATCGTCATAGTTGGTATCGTTAGCTAACATATTCCTAATAAACACATCATCATTGGTAGCCACAGGTTGTGTGTTGACACCTGTTTCCTCGTTAGTAACAGCCTCGGAGGGGCTACATCAGGCATGATCATTCAAAGGTTTCTTGCGAAACATTCTCACCAACCTTGCCATGCTTACTCCATAACGTGTAGTCTCTCACAAACCCTCGGGTAATCAAGTGACATCGTATCTGCTCCACATTAACAAATTTCCTGAGATTTTTGCAATCTCTGCATGGGCAGATTACATGCTCTTGATCCCCAGCATAAGCTTTGGCAGCTGTGATGAAGGTGCTGACGCCCATCTAGTACCACATGTCCACATATGCCCGACTGTACATCCACCCTCGATCCATCTATGCACAAAAATATTATTCTACTTCATTCATGCCACATAAAAATGGGGAGACTAATTATAGGAAAGTAAAAATTGGAGCCTTCATGAATAACAATTATAGCTTAAAACAATGGGTTGCTAGGTGTCACATGGATGTGCTCATCAAAATTGAAATTGGTAGCCCCTCTTAAAGAACAATTATTCCACTTCATCTCGCATAAAAATGGAGAGACTAATTACAGAAAAATAACAATTGGAGACTTAATCATGAACAACAATTGTAGCTCCAAACAATGGATTGGTAGGTGTCACATGGTTTTGCTCATCAAAATTCAAATTGGTAGCCCTATTGAAAAAACTTTACTCTACTCCATACAAGAACTAAAGCATCACATACTAACAATCATCAAAACCACCATGTATTTTGCTAGGAATTATATTAGGTTCATAGACACAACCTTTTGGAAGATGGATTCACCATAATTTGAATGCCTTTCTCATGATCCAATTCAAAAGTGCTCTCTAACTAGAGAAATAGAGAACTAGCATGAGAATAAAGCAATCTAGCTATTAGAACAATTGAAAAGCTACAAAGTCAAGGGAGTTGATGCTTGTTACTAACCTTAAAGCAAGAATATCATGCCCATGCTTGAAAATCCAAGACCTTTATTGTGCATTTTGGTGAAAAATGGCCGCAACAATGGAGGGAGATGTGGCAAAAATACGTGTCCTGGATGAGTGTGCTCGGCGGGATGGGAGAGAGGAGGGAGGAGCTCGTGAGCTTTTGTACTGTGGGCTATCACTGTCGGCCCAAACCAAAAGCCGACAGTGATACCACAATATCACTGCTGGTTCAAGCCATGAACCGGCAACGACATATCTCTGCCGGTTCAAGCCACCAATCTACAGTGATATGGACGTTCACTGATGGGTTTTTTTTATTTTGAAGCTAAGAACCGACAATGATGGGTTATCACTACCGGTTCCACTGTAACCAGCAGTGATGAGCCGACAGTGAAGATTGGTTCTATAGTAGTGTCTGATGAAGATCTTTATTGTCAAAATTTTTGGTAGAAGACATGCATTACGCAACAAGCTCCACCCTTGTAAATAACCTGCATAAAAAATGAAGTGGCTATGTTAAAAAACAATATCATTCCGCCTTAACCATATGACCCAGCACATGGTGCGTGCCCCTACTAGAACTAGGAGTTTATTATTGTCATGATATCATCTAGCAAAAGTTGTATAGTCTCAAATGAACTCAGCAAGAATACAGTAAAAAAATAAATATTGTATAGTCTCAAGGTTATTACAAAAACAACATTTCTCATCTCCATGCTAATTCTCTTAACTAAGTTATTTTTTGTAAGTGTGACCCCTTTATATAGAAACCAAATGAAAAATTTTAACTTTAAAGGTATCTTAATATTCCCTAAGTATCTGTTATATGGCATAAAATCTGGATTCAACGTAGCATTAAACATTGATGGTACCCAAAATCGTCTATTCTGATGAAGTGACCATCTGAATGTATCTGGTTGATCATATAAATGTACATTTACATGTCATAAAAAACAAATTATGCCAAGAATCAAAGTTTTAACCTACTAAAGATCTTTGAAACGAAATGTTTAAGCTACAGAACTCATGATATCAACAACCATAGCACTTTTCCCTCTCACTATATTATAGAAATTTGGATATTGCTCTTTTAAGGTAGACATGCCAAGCCACTTATCTTCCCAGAATCTAACTTATTTGCCATCTTGTAATCTAAAATTTCTAAAACTTAGAAATTGATTTTTGACATTCATTAGAACAGTCCAAAATTGTGAATCGTCACGCTTTTTATCCACTTGAGTAACTGATTTGTTGCACAGGTACACAATTCGCAATGCTTATACACAATAATAATTCTTCGCATGCTTACCAAAAATAATGTACAATAATTAAGTTACCTAGTCTAGGCTTGAATATAAATAGCTTCTTAAAACTGTACAATTTTTTACACATGAAAAACTAAATCACTTCCTTGGAAACAAGACTATAAAACATCTTGTCAAAAACTATGAGCTCAAAGGGTACTTATTTTTTCCGTGCGCTGCACGGGCATGTATCTAGTTAACATATAGAGGCATAGAGCAAACAAATTATTAATCTTCATAGTATAAAATTTACTGTCACAAGTACTTCTTATTAGTTGAGAAAAAAATCCAGTCCAGTAAATTCTAAGCAAAAGAAGTCATAAATTCAGAAACACGTGTCTTCCATCTTCTCACTGTTTTTCAATTGTTCAATATCGATATTTAATTACTATACAACATTATTATTATTTAATTAAAATTAAAAGATCTAAAAATGATAAAATTATAGAATCACCCGAACAAAGGTTCAGAGTGATTTTCCAATCAACTAAGCTCTAGAACCAGGCCACAGAACAGAAGCATGTACTACCTTGCTACATTCAGGTTGAATTTTATCAGACTTGCAACTCTTGCCTTACTAAAAAGTAAAAACAGATTCCTTGCTAGCAAGCAACGCCTAAGACTACCTACTCATTAACCTGGACTAATAGAAAGTACAAGCAAGCTTTAGAGAGATGGCGCCACCATCTCTGGATCTACATTTGACCAGATCACGACGAGGGTGGCAGCAAAGCCCACTATACATTATTACACACCCCAAGCGAGACTTGCAGAACAGCGTGAGCGGAACCAACCTTCTTGACTGCGTGGAGGGCAGCCGCCGTGGCCGCCGACGCCGGCTCCGATGATCACGAGGTCGTAGTCGAACCCGCCGCTCGCGGCCGCGCCATTGCCAGCCGTCGCCGCAGCCACCACGCTCCACCTAGCGGCCACCGACTGCGGCGTGCACCGGGGCGCGAGTGGAGACAGAGGGCCTCGCGCCTGAGACCGCAGAAGCGGAGCCTGGCAACCGGCCGGATCGTGTCATACCTGTAGGCGGCGGCGCTGCTGGCGACCGCCGCCGAAGCTGCCGAGAGGGGACCGTGGGGCCTCGCCCGACCCGCCTCCGGCACCGGCAGCTCCAGCCGACCGCGCCATCTCGGCCGAACCCCCGGCGATCTGCTGCGCCGCAGCTTCCCCGCGTCCGGTGCCGGCGTTTCAGGCGAGGGGAGGGAGGCGTGGGCGTCCTCAGAAGGGAGCCGCGGCGAGGCTAGGGGTTTCGGATCCGGGCGGCGGCGACGGGCAGGAGGCGAATGGTTTTTTCTCGTTTTCTTTTTTTTTTCGGGGAAAATAGAGACGGAGGACTGGAGGAAGCGGGGATCGAACCTTCGCGCGTGGGTCAGGTTTGGTCCGCGCCTAGGAGTGTTCGGGGCTGCGGGGAGGAGAGTTGAAGCGTAGGCGTGGAAAGAATTTTGGCCATTATATTGAGTTTATTTAAGTGTTTGATGACTGATTATTAGTTATTGATTTCTATGAACGTGGAATTTTGGGTAAAAATTCTTTGGTGTATAATGATTGGGATATTTTAGCGGGCGACACATTCATCTGTGGATCTAAAATAGTTTTGAGTGTTCCTTCATAGTATGTACGCATAGCTCATAAGAATTCTCTCTATCCTCTTTTCTCAATCTCATATCACGCCACCTGCTCGCTAGCTCCATGCGGTCGCATGGTCCCCACATGGAAGCTTGGTGTGGCGACCAAAACTTCTATGGACGCACAACGCCACGGTTTGGAACCTATGCCCCTGACTGGCGTGACGACCTGTGTGCCACATCTTTAATTATTCTCGAGCAAAGTCATAAAAAACTGTGGCTCCGTTCGGCTGCTATTCTTCAGTTGTTGGCTGATTCTGCTACAATTACTAGAATCAGCCAGACCAGCAGGATCAGCCAAGCAGCAATCGAACAATTCGAATCAAACAAGTGGGGCCACATACACGTACCAGGATGCAATTCAAATCAAAAATGGCGGCAACTGAAGCACCAGCCATCAGGCATGGGAACCCTTATGGCGGGTTCATAAACCCAGGGTCCTCATGGACCGGCTTCCCAACAAAAGCTCGGCCTAACAGACAACATTGCAAGCAACGCGCAACTCATGCGCCGGCCCAAATACCTAGACGACAGGCCAGAAGGACGATCCAATCTCCGACCGGAAAGCCTGGCTGAGGAGGAATGACGCCCGCTTCCAACTCCGGTCCACCTCTCCGACCGGAACACTCTCTTCGGTCTCTAGCCCGCCTCCGGACGGTCTCTCTGACCGGAAGGCCTGGCCAAAAAGTCACTTCCGACTCCGGCCCGCTTCTCCGATCGGGAATGCACCGGACCCCTGCCTACGGCTCCTCTCCGACTGGCGCAATCAGAGCCGACTGGGACCAACCGACCGGGGACGCCCGCTCGGTAAGAACCAGGAAACAGACGGAGAAAGTAAGGCAGCACACTCAAGACAACCGTAATACCAAGGACCGTACCCTGTACACCTGCAGGACAAGTACCCTGCGACCTCCCTGACATGACAGAACGCAAGCAGTGTTGTAGGCGCCGATATTTTCCCTATAGTGTTGTGGGTGCCATCAACTCCCATACCAGACAAATACGTAAGGCTCCCCCACGTGCCTCTGAGGCATCGACAGTGTTGTGGGCACCGGCATTTACCGTGCTAGGCGAACATGGTAAAAACCCCCTGCATGCCTCTCGGCATCAACAGTATAACATGTACAGACATCTGCCATACCTGAAGAAGACGACGTAACCTCCCACGTGCATCTGACATTCAACAGTATTGTGGGCGCCTACCATCATCTTATACCCGCCGGCGTGGGTACAAGACTTAGCAGCGAACGTACTCTCTCCCTCTCACTTGTTAGGCCATCCCCTTCATCTATAAAAGGGGATGCACTCTCTTCCAACAGATAAGTTCATTCAGATCGATCAGTTCACTAGGTCACAACAACAGAATCGCCAGGTTCAAACCACAAGCACACGCTCGAACACATAGCGCATAGCGGAGCTCCCGTCACTCTCGGCCCCTCTGACCAGAGTCTGACCGGACCTCTTGTACCCCCCATCTTTCTCCTCGTTTGTAACCCCACTGCAAATTTCGAGCACCTGGGCTCAGGAATAAAGTCACTGACCGACTCAAACTGGATGTAGGGCACGTTGCCTGAACCAGTATAAACCCTGTGTCATTGAGTGCTAGGCCACCTCCGATCACAACGTACGACAAAACTACAAATATTTACGTGTTGGTCACTTTCTGCACCGACAGTTGGCGCCGTCTGTGGGGAAGACGTTGTACGTTCAACACTTTTTGGTCATCGGATGGCCCACTTTTCCACCACCTTCGCCATGGCGGGCTCAAGCGATACGACTCGCTTCGGTTCACTGGAGTTTCCCTCACTCCCACCTGTTGGGATGTGGGTTCCACCCGTCTTCGAGCCATCCTAGGCCTCCCTCTTCGGAAGCCTGGACTTTGTCGCCGACTGACTCGGCGTACTACACCTCCGCGAGGAGGCACTCGTTCTGGCACCCGTCGGAGGGGCGCCCTCCATCGGCTCCGGGACGCATGACAACTTCAACGATGAGGCATCTTCACTTCATTCCGAGCAAACTCTCTGCTCAAACCCCGCTGTGAGTAATGTGCATGCAGTTATTTACTATCTCCCGCCGATTATCTGGAGAGACCGTATTGTCCGCACCACGAACACCGTATGATCGGTTCCCCTACGGCCTCGCGTCCCCCGTGGACGCGTGCGCTCGGAGGCTCCCAAGGACGCTGGCGCCATCCCCTCTCACATCCGAATTCGTGGGAATGGTGAGCTATGCTCCTACCACTTTCCACGAACTCCCAAATGACGAGGGTGAGAGCGACGGCTCCAGCATCGGCGACGTGGCACCTAGCCACCGTTCGTCCTAGGAGTGCACTATGGCAGACGCTCCAGGACAGCCGCCGGTGGGTGCGGAGTCTGTGCAGACTCACACCCCTCTGGACCCGCATGCGGGGACCCTCGTGCACGCACAAGGGCACGCCGAGGAGCTACGACAACGGCGGCAGAACTAGCCGTCGCCTGCGCCGACGCGCTCGGTGCAGCATGTTGCGCCCCATGCGCATGACCCGACGGGCGGCGCCCGGGGTCACGCCCGCTAGGTCCAACATGACATCATGAACGAGGGGAACGACCCCCACAGTTCGCTCGGGCTAGCCAGAACATCGCCGCTGCGACAATGCTTCTGCGCGTCGTTCCCGAGCCCGTCGACCCCTAGGAGCGGTCGGTCTACCGAAACCTCCGGGCGCCGGTAGAAGCCGCCGCCGTTCAATAGGCGGAAAACTCCACATCGTTACTCCAACACGTGCCCTCTCTCCCCACTGGGGGAGCGGGAACACGCTAGATGGATTGCTCCATCCGCTCACTGCTACAGCCGCCGAGCGTGGCTCGGGAGGCAGCAGCAGCGCCGCGGTCCGACCTAGCGCCTGCTTCGCACCGATCGCCGGTACATGAACGACCCAGTCCGCACCAAGATGCTTGCAGCGTCATCAGCAACCGGCATTAGGCCCGGCATGATGATGACGTCCACCAGGTGGCGTTTAGGGCAGGCAACACGGATCCCGGCCGTACCATCGAGGGGAGCGGTGAAACGCGCCCCAGGCATGGTCACCGACCAGACGACCAGAGTCCCATCCCTGAGGGCCCAGGACCACGGCCTTTGACCGGCGTATCCGGAGAGCGCCGTTCCCACAGCGCTTCCAACCGCCCACCAACATCACCAAGTACACTGGGGAGACAAACCCTGGTATTTGGCTCGAAGATTTCCGGCTCGCCTGCTGAGCCGGAGGGGTGGATGATGACTGTTTCATCATTCAGTATCTCCCCATCTATGTGGGGGAACATATTCGGGCATGGCTTGAATTCCTCCCACACGACAGCATCCGCGACTAGGCAGACCTCAAGAGGGTCTTCGTCGGAAATTTCTAGGGAACGTATGTCCACCCTGGTAACTCCTGGGACCTCAAGAGCTGCCAACAGGAGTCTAGCGAGTCCCTGTGGGGTTACATCCGTAGGTTCTCCCAACGATGCAACTCCCTCCCTGATGTCGTCGACGCAGACGTCATCAGCGCATTCCCCTTCGGGACGACCTATGAGTCCCTGATCCATAAGCTTGGATGCCTAAAGCCCCGTACCACCCACGACCTGCTCGATGTCGCCACTAACCACGCCTTCGGCGAGGAGGCGGTCAGAGTGATCTTCAACGGAGGCCGGGACAAAGGCAAGGCCAAGCGCACGGACCAAGACAAGGGCCCCTCCACACAAAGGGGCAAGAAGAACAAAAAGGATCGGCTTTGACCGGACAACACCGCGTTGGTCGCCGCGGCTGATCGCACGGGCAAGCAGCCCCAACAGGGACTACCTGACCATTTCAACAAGCTCAAGGACAACACATGCATGAACCATGCCTACCCCATCAAACACCTCCACAAGGACTACGAGCTTCTCAAATGTTTCCTATGACAGGCCGACGGGCCAAAAGAAGGAGACGGCAAAGAGGCGGCAGCCAAGAAAGGAGGCGTGGCGGGCAAGGATGGAGACGACTTCCCCGACCCTAAGGAATGCATCATGATCTTCGGCGGATCCGACGCCATCTGGTCCAAGCGCTAGCACAAGGTGCGCTATAGGGAGGCATGCACCGCCAAGACAGTCATCCCCTCCTTCCTCGGCTAGTCGGAATCTCTGATCACGTTTGATCAGAGGGACCATCCCTCCCACGTCGTGAGACCGGGACGTTACCCACTCGTCATCGACCCCATTGTCCACAAGAAGCGCCTCACCAAGGTGCTAATGGACGGAGGCAGCGGCCTCAACATCCTCTACGTCAACACCCTCGACGCCATGTGCATCCCCCGGTCGAACTCCACCTAGCGGGCTCTCCCTTCCACAGGGTGAACTCGAGAGTGCAGGCATACCTGCTCGGGTAGATCGACCTACCCGTCATGTTTGGCAACCGAGCCAACTTCCGCTCGGAGGTCCTCACCTTTGAAGTGGTGGACTTTCTAGGGTCCTACCATGCCTATCTTGGGGAGGCCATGCTATGCCAAATTCA